TTCATCATCTGATGCAGAGTAGATATGATAGCTCCCGCCCCATGGATCCAAGGGCGACCCAATAAACAAGAATATGATGGTATGATATCCATCACGTAGAAGGTAGAGTCGAAAGTATGAGAACCAAATTTTATAGGGATGTCCACATCCCCGTGCACCATCCTCTTTGAGCCATCGAAAGCCCTTACCACTATGTTGTCGGGCTTCAAGGTTAAACCTTCACAGTCTAGTTTGTCCAGAGCCTTCTTGGGCAGCACATTCAATGATAAACTAGTATCTACCAGATCATGGGCCAAAGTAGTGCCCCGAAATTCGACGTAAACATGTAGCGCATCATTATGTTTTCTCCCTCTGGGTGTCAAATCAGCATAAGAGAAACCCAAACCATTATCTGCCATCAGACTGTCCACACAATCTTCAAATTGGTCCGCAGAGGTTTCCAGTGGCACATGGACCGTCTTAAGGAACTTCACCAAAGCCTTTGCATGGGCTTTAGAGCACAATAGTAAGGCCAGCATAGAAATCTTTGAAGGGGTCTTCCCCAGTTGCTCGACCATATTGTAGTCGCTCTTTTTAATGATCATAAAAATTTCTTCCATTTCCTTCTTGGAAGCCTCTGGGATAGATATTGATTACGCCTTCGTCCGAACAGGCTCAACCAATATGTCTTTGCCCCGAGTCTCGGTCGACTCGGTGATAGGGGTGTCAGCAGAGGTAATCACAGGAACTGTAGTAGTAGTACTAGCAGGAACAAAAGTAGGAATAATCACAGGACCGATAACAACTTTTGGAGGAGAAATCTTAAGGGAGAACACTCTCCCACTTCTGGTTATTTTGCTAGTTCCCACAATGTTGCCAATGTCGGGGTCAGCCCTCTCAGAAATCTTTTCTTCATCAGCCAACCAATCTTGCTTGACGCCGTGGTAGTAGATGTTACCCCCATAGTTCCAGGGAACGATTTTGTCCGAGGAGTATGCGATTGGCCCTGGCATGGTAATTATCAGCGGAGTCACCTTCGGCACAGATGTAATCCTGAGGGGTATTTTGGTGGAGACCCTGGGAGGATTGGCGGAAACGGTTATTATTGAAACATCCTTATAAGAAGTGGTTGAAACAGGAGTCTTTTCAAATAAAATCTCTTTGTCATTCATCAGGCGCTGGACACCTGCCTTCAATAAATGACAACCATTAGGTAGAGACAAACAGAGATGGCAACCTTTGCCACAACCCGGAAATAAACTGGCCTTCAACAGGCTCCTCTTGATGGTCAGGAGAGGAGTAACAAGTTCATCAATAACAGTAACAAACATATCATCTTCAACAACGTTAACACCACAGTCGTGCTTGGGCATAGGGGCAGTGATGACATTATGAATCTCAGGGGCGTCAAATTCAATTTCCTTCGCCTCGATTAGATCCTGTACCTTGTTTTTCAAAGCCCAACAGTTGTTGGTATCATGGCCTGGACTTTCTGAATTATAAGCACAACGAGCCTTAGGTTTGTAGTGAGGAGAGGCGGTGTTGGGATTCTTCGGGGCTTCCTTCAAAGTTACCAGATTAGTCTTCAATAGCTGTGGCAAGATTTGAGACAAAGTCATGTTTATCCGGGTAAACTGTCTTACCGACCTTTCTATTCTCGGTTAATTGCTCCTTTGTTGGGTAGGTTCATACTTAGAGATCATGACAGCCCCTACCGCTGGACGGCATTTAGTTTTGTCATGATTTCTTTAACGGTACACAACACTAACCTCCTTCTTCCAAGCGAATGGCTTCCTTACGACACTAGAGGACGTATCCTTTTGAATCTTCCCACTCCTAATTCCAGCTTCCACCCGTTCTCCTGTCAGAATTAATTCAGTGAAGCCGGTTGAAGAGCTTACAATCAGGTGATTAAAGAACGGACTAGACAGGGTACCGAGAAACATATCCACCATCCCTATCAAACAGGGGAGGCTGGACTCTTCCTGCTAAATCCCTCCACTTCTGAGCATAGTCCTTAAAGCCCTCGCTCGAACCCATAGACATATTTTGGAGTTGTGTACGGGTGGGAGCAAGGTCTGCGTTGTATTGATACTGCTTGTAAAAAGCAGCAGCCAGGTCTTCCCAATTATGAATGTTGGCCCTTTCCAGCTGGTAGAACCATTCTAGTTGAGTTCCGGATAGACTATCCTGAAAGAAGTGGACCCATAAGTCCTTATCAGCAGTGTGAGGCTGGATCTTCCTCACATAAGATCGGAGATGCATTTTGGGACATGAGACCCCATCATATTTTGAAAATACTGGCACCTTGAACTCCTGTGGGATGACAACCCCAGAGACCAAACCCAGCTCTTCAAAGTCCAGACCTGTTACCTTCCTGACCTCCATTGCATTCAAATGTTCCTCCAGTTGTTTGTATTTTTCATCAACAAGAGGATACTACTCCCCATCATAGTCTGATTCATCATTGGATTCCTTTGGGCTGGAGTCTTCCTCTCTTGTTTCCTCTTCTTGACCGTATCCTTCTTTTGATGAATTTACCAGTTCAGAAGCTCTCCGTGCTGGTCCTCTAATCCTTCTTCCCAAATTCACTAACCCAGTTGGTTTCTTTGGCTTCTTCCTTTTATCTTTAAGTATGAGGGCTTTCAGATCTTCCTGCCCTTTAGCTAGAGCCACAATCATTTGCTGGAACTAGGCGTTTTGTGCTTGGAGATCCTTGATGTTTTGTTCGAGAGTCATTTCTTTACTTGCTGAAATAAACAGCGAAGAAGATGAGAAACCTGTTATGAGACATGTTTATGCAATGATATGTATGCCATGCATATGAAATGATTTCAAGGATTTCGGGAAATTCAAACTTGCGAACCAAAATGAAACAAAGATTTTATTAGTAGAATTCAAAATACATTTGCCTTTTAGGTGTTTCAATTGAAAATTCACAGAACTAAAAAAAATCAGGTTTCCCAAGGGTGCTTCCTCTTTGCGCCGAGATAGACATTAAGGCTTCTTTCCTCATGAAGTTGCTTCGTGAGCTCTAAATCTTTCTTCTCATGAGCATATAATTGGTCTCTATAAGTATCCCACTTCTTCTTTAGCTGAATCCAGGACCTCTATAATTCTTCAAGATCAGTTGGCATATCAGGATGGAGAACCGTATAGGGAATATCCCCTTCAGTAATGGGCTCCACAATCACTGGTAAGATGGCTGCATATGGCATCATAATATTCTGAGCACGAGCTCGTACCCATTGGAGATAAGGATCCATAGGAATGGAAGTCCTCGGCCCCAAAGCCTTGATGCCAAATCTGTTTACCATGCCCCAGGCTCGTATGAACCTTTGGCGATACCCTTGAACATCATCCTCGTAGTTAAACACAATGCCTTGGACAAGCATTTTATGCGAACCATCCCTTCGAGCGTAACCAAATTGTCGCAGGGCCAAAGAAGGATTATAGGTTATGCCTCCTCTGATGCCAAGTAGTGAGACATTAGGGAATTCTCCGCAACGGTCAATAATAGAAATATCCCCCATAGATCGGGAATACTAGAGAATATCCGTGTGAGAAAGTGACATTATCTTTTGCGACCAGCCCAAACCTTCTTCATTCTTCAGTACTGTCTTAGGGAGGTGAGAAATAAACCACCTCGAGAGCAATGGCACACAGCACATAAGAATCCCTCTTTTCTTTGTGGTACGCATGTGGAACGTATGCAAGATATCTCCAAGTAAAGTGGGCACAGAGTTGCGAGAAAGAAAGACCTTGATGGCATTCACATCTATGAGTAAGTCTGGATTAGGAAACAATACTAACCCATAGATGATAAGGGCCAAGACCTCCTCAAAAGCCTGGAATTCCAAATCATCCCAAAACAGCTGAGCCTTCTCTATTTGGAAACCCTTAACCCCGCTTTTTATTTCCTAGTTGGATACAACGTCGAACCGTTTCAGGTGTAAAGCTGCGGTGGTGATCTCTGGTTTTGGAGCTTCTTCCAAACCGGTGAAAGGAAACTGATCCAAAATAGGTATACCCAATATCTGAGAGAACTCTTCCATGGTGGGTACCAACCGATAGTCGGGAAAGGTGAAGCAATGATGCTTAGGGTCAAAGAACTGAACGAGCACACTCATCATCTTCTCATCAAAACTCGAGGTAACTAGATTGAGGAGTCGACCGTAGTTCTTGGTGAATGAGGAAGTCTCATAGACCCTGGATACTAGCTCTTTGAGTTGAAGCGGTATTCTCACAAAGCTGATTCAGATGGTATTTCTACGAGCGGAAGCCATGATCTGCAAAACAGAACAAAGGTAAATTCCCCTGATCCTTGAAATGGTTAGCATAATGAAGAATGAATGTTTATGATGCATGATGTCAGGTTTAAGAAAACTAAATCACACACAAGCAAACACACAATAGACCTTAGGTTCAAAGGCTTGCATGAGGTTTAAGGTAAGTACCCTCACTACGCCAAAAATAAGTTACGAAAGCGCTTTTTTTGGCCTTTAAAAGCGCTTAAAAGCGCTTTCTAAGGTGGCGCTGCTATAGGTTTTAGCAGCGCTTTTTGTTTAATGAAAAGCGCTTTCGTAGGTCTACCTAATACAACACTTTTTCTAAAAAGCGCTCTCTTAAGTAGGCTTTTGGCAGTGCTTTTTTATGAAGAAGCGCTTTCATAGGTCTACCTAAGGCAGCACTTTTTTCTGGAAAAGCGCTCTCATAAGTTTTCTTTTAGCAGCGCTTTTTTCTGGAAAAGCGCTGTCTTAGGTAGGATTTTAGCAACGCTTTTTTCTGGAAAAGCGCTGTCTTAGGTAGGATTTTAGCAACGCTTTTTTCTGGAAAAGCGCTTTCATAGGTGGTCTTTTAGCAGCGCTTTTGCCTGGAAAAGCGCTGTCATATGTTTACCTTAGACAGCGCTTTTTGTGAAAAAGCACTTTCATAGGTAACCTAAGGCAGTATTTTTCTTGAAAAAGCGCTTTCATAGGGTGTTTTTTTTAGAGGTATAATTTATATAATTCATATACCTTTCATAGTGATGTTTTGTCCCTCTTCATTGGCTGCACATTAAAATTGAGTTACTGCCTATAGCAAGAGTAGGACTAGTATCATACACATGAGAATTGCTACAGAAGTATGAGAAAAATATTTATGTACTATCATTGTAGATATACTTTTCTTCATGAAAAGAACAGAAGAAAAAAAAGAAATAACTGAAACTACATGGTGGTTTGAAAAAAGTGTATGAGAAGAAACATATGCAAACTGTACCATAATAATTTTATTATATCTGAATCGATATTGAAAACTGCATATTTTATGTCAAATATGAAGAAACTTTTAACATCAAATGGATAATCATTCCAAAGTCTGTATCATAAATTTATCATTTCAGAAAACTGAGAATAGTTGGTAAACATAAGATGTCAAGGATGATTATTAAGCGCAGAATAGCAGTCGAGTGCTTCCAAGGGATAAATGAATTGCAGTGTTATGTCATATGCATATAGTGCATAAAGGTTTCTATTAAGAGTTTCTAACCTCAACAGTAGCCAAAAGGGAGTCAGTTCCCTTCACATATTTGTAATAACTTTTCGTAAAACAACAGCAGCACTTTGAATCAGGATAGACAACATCTAAACTCTTTTAAGGAAATGGGGTCAAGAGAGAATATTACTGAAACATTATTTTTCTTGGTAATAAATAGGGTTATAAGCTATAGTAAAATTATTTAAATATGCTCAAAACCAATTAATGGGGTAAGGATACCCATAGCACTTCCCCACCTCTCTAACAAGCTTGGGTGAATGTAATACTTGTCTAAAGAGCCGTATTCATCTTCATTATATTCCCCTGAAGTTCTAGAAATGTCATTGGAAACACCCGTTGCTGAAGCCTCAGGTTCAACATTTGTATCATTGTTAAGATTCTTTAATACAAGAAACTTCTCAATAGGTTGACATGACTGGAACAAATTGTGTCTATCCTCGAGTGATAAATCATCTTCCTTAGCATATGTGTTGAAAGGATCAAATAATGGCTTAGGAGACTGAATCAACTGGCGGCTCAAAAATTCATTTCCAAAAGATGACGGTTTTCTCTTAGCCTGAAAAATTAAACACATTCAATCCACTAACACAAACTCATAAGCCAAAAGGTTTACAACTTCGACTGACAAGAACCCTAGTTAAAGATATTAGAATAGCTAAATCTACTTTTTCCCTCCCCCTCTTTGAAATGTGAAATAAGCCATTATTAACACAACTTGCGACTCAAGTAATTAAGAACAATTTTCTCCATGAGACTACAGTGCAATTAAAGATCCAGCAGCAACAAAAAGAGGATTCAAACTTTATGAACATCTTTGAAAGTATATTGCCTGAAACCAACTGATTCCTTGATGATATAAAATACATCCCAAGTTTTTTGAGCATTTAAACTTGAAGAAAAGAATAGTCTAAGACTAAAGAATACCTACCAGACAAAAGTAACGAGGCCTAGAATATGGAACTCCAAACTGTAAAGGGGTGAGAATGAACTCTTGTGTAATAAAATTTGTTTTCTCCAGTATTTCAATCAGTTTTGCATGTGTATCAGATGTCTGTAGCCAGAAAGGACAGAAAAATAATCAGAAACCATTAAGGAATCTTATTTAGGGTCTTAGTGAACATGTTTATTGAAGAACACAAACCTCAAACCCGACAAAATTTTCCACAAACAACATACTTAGAGGCCGCAATAGGAATGGGATGAGCTCAAGAATCTGAAGAAAATAAAACGCCCATGCATCCCCAATGTCCTTCTGGAGACCTAACACAAGATTATTGAGCGACATTTTGCTTACAGAACTAAATAAGTTATCATAGAACGAGAAGAAGAAAAAATCCCCTTGTCGTGTGTAAGGTTGACAGGGAGGAGAAAGGAGCCATGCGTGGGCACCATATTTGTCTAGATCAATAGCAGTTAGGCTTTGAATATTTCCCTAAGTCATCCAACACAGATAAATCTCAATCAGATCAGGTAGATCAACAATGTCTAAGAACCTGAATAGACGTGGTCTATGACATTGACATGTAATGTGACAAAATTCCAAATATACCCATCTAGCCACAGTTCATGAACGTACAAACCTTTAAAATCACAATTCATAACTCAATAAGAGGCAAATTAACAATTTGATTTGGAAAAACAATACAAAAAGAGAAGAGTGAAACCTGATAAGGACGATGAGAAAAGTTATGTTGGTAAACATCATTTGCAATGTTATTGATTTCAAATGCTTCGATCACTTGCGCTTCTACTTGAGCTTTCATCAGCGAGTATCTCTGATACAACACACTAATTCAATTTGCAAATTGGTAAAAGATGAATTATGGTTTGATGGGGTGCGTACCATGCCGCCAATTCCACTGTAGAACTCCAGTACTCTCTGCATCTCTTTCCCCATTATTGCTGCTTGCTTGCAACTTGCAACAATTAAGCCACTTCCAACGCTTTGAAAAACAAATGACCTTAACCACTAGGGTTTTGTACGTATAATTTCCTATAATTAGATTATTATTAATTTTAGTCTTAAATAAGCGCTTTCGTAGCATATCCTATAGCAGCGCTTTCTAAAGGCCAGCTTTAGCAGCGCTTTGGAAAAGCGCTTTCTAAGGCTGACCTTTAGCAGCGCTTTTGAAAAGCGCATTCTTAAGGTACCCTCTGAAAGGCCAGCTTTAGCAGCGCTTCCCCAAAAGCGCTTTCTAAGGGTGACCTTTAGAAGCGCTTTCTTAAGGCACCCTTTGAAAGCGCTTTTTTAAGAGAATTTTTTTTAAAACCTACAGCAGCGCTTTTTTCCAAAAGCGCTTTCTTTTATGTGCTGCTAAAACTTATTTTTGGCGTAGTGCCTCTTGAAGTTTAGTTAGTTTTAAACCTGTCCTAGAAATAGTAACCGGGTTCTATGGAGTCTCAATATCATTGATCTTTCTTTATCGAATTATTTCAGCTTAGCAATCTTTTCTTGCGGCCGAAACATCTCTAAATTCCGATCTTAATGAGTGTAGTATCGAGTATCAACTGACTCCCAACTTTATACCGAGATCGGCTATCTCACTACTTTCTAATGGCCAAGTTTGTTCAACTAAGGTTCTAAGGTTCGTTAGTGCTTCACGACACCACGCGGCGGCCCTGTATTCTCCTCGATTCAATATAAGGGATACCGGTACCAACCAAAGTGTCACACCAACACAGCCATCGTTTCAACCATATCGGTCTACGCCGTACAGTCTCCACGATCTATTGTTGTTTACCTAAAAAGATGCCCAGATCCGGGTGTAGGATCTATAGTAACAACCCAAACAATCCTCAAAAGTAAAGCAAACAAGCACAAAAAGCAAATTAGCAATGAAATAACTCTAAGGTAAACCCCACTTTTATTTATCCCCAGAAGAGTCGCCAGTTCTGTTACACGGTGGCAAAACCGACTGTTTATATATGCTGGTTTTGCGTTTTTTGTCTGCAAATGTGCAGTAAGCAAGAGTCGCCACCGTATTTTCTTTTATCCAAATTAAGGAAAGGGTGAAAAGAATAGAAAAAAGACCTTTCGATATGTTTTATGAGTAAGGGGGTAGATTATGCGTAGTCTCTTTCGTGTGCAGTATGTATCTCTCTCTCTCTCTCTTTGTTCGCTCTTTCGTTCGCCTATGTCCTCTCTTTCTCCCCTGGTATTGTGTGATTGCTCTTGTATTTATAGGAGCGTGATGCTCCAGTAATGGCAAGAGACAACAAATTAAATAGGCCATTAAAGCCATGAGACAAGAATCCGACAAATTAAACGCATTCCTCTTTGGAACATTCGTGTCTCTTTGATGAACCTGGACACTTGACCTCTTCGAACACCCTCCTGTCATTCGAAGGGTCTTGACAAAAGTCTAATCGAAGGGTCTTTCCATGAGGCCAATCAAAAGGACTTGCCAAAAGGCCAATTGAAGGTTCTTGCCAAAAGGCCAATCGAATGGTCTTGCCATGAGACCAATCGAAAGGACTTGCCAAAAGGCCAATTGAAGGGTCTTGCCATGGAACCAATCGAAAGGACTTGCCAAAAGGCCAACCGAAGGTTCTTGCCAAAATACCAATTGAAAGGACTTGCCAAAAGTCCAATCTAAGGTTTTGGCTAAAAGGCCAATCGAAGGGTCTTGTTGACTGATCGAAAGCTTCATTTTGCTCTCTTCGATTTCCTTAAGTTAGGACCAATCGAAGAAATATTAAAATACCAATCGAAGACGCCCTTGTTCATATGCCAATTGAAAGACATTGTTAAGATGCCAATTGAAAGACACCTCATCGAAGGACACTTTAACCAACTTCAAAATTTGTTATCTTTCTTCAAGCAAGTGTTTGTAGCCACCCATGTAAGAGAAGATCTTGTAAAAAAAGAGAGGGAAAATTTTGGGGTACAACAATGGGCATGCATCTTCCTGCAATACATACGAAGATGATTTCTTAGACAAGTGAGCCCCTTGTATTTTTCGAAGTCAGGTACTTTGAACTTTGGTGGAATCACCACATCAGGAACTAGGCCCATTTCGAGAGCGTCTACTTCGAAAGCGTTGAAACCCTCCATAGCTTTTAATCTTTCTTCCAGGACTTTGTATTGATTCACCACTAATGGATTATCAATAGCATGAGTACTAGTCGTTTTTAAGGGTGCTTGATTGGCATCCTCTGGGTCGTGGTCTCCATATTGCAGGTCCAAGTAATTGTCTGCATCATTGGTTGAAATCTGTAGGGTACGAGATGCCCCTTCTTTTGGCGGAGGTGGGACAAACCCTTCAGTTTCAGCTTCTTGTTGGACCATGGCAGATTTCTGGGGTCCTGCCTCTGACTCTTTCCTTAGTTGGTGACCGCTTGATGCACCAATAGGCTGGGCTACTTCTTCGAAAGCTGCCCTAGGAATCTGGTCTTGTTTGTCAATAATATTCTTCAAAGCTAGGAGAAATTGACTCAGATCTCCTTTCATTGAAGTGACGCCACCCTTTACTTGGTCAAGATCCTCTCTGAATGCAGCCTGAGTTTCCTCGATTTTCTCCATTGCTTTTTTATTGATAAGCCTTTGTTTGATACGGATGCCGAGGAGGTGGAGATCTTCTTTTACCAATGGTTCAACTGGAGAGATGTTTTTGAAAAATGAGTTTTGATATGATATGTAGGTGTTTGTGAATGCATGCATGCGAATAAATGTACGAATATGAAAGGGGTTAACTGTCCTATTCACTTGGGTATGTATTTGTCTTTTGCTTATTATTTTACTTAGCAACTATCTTTAAAATAGATACACAAACGAGATGTGGAAACAAAATTCCTTTATTGAAGGTAACATAATTCAGATATTGAAAAATATTACAATCTTAAACCAAAACTTTATTTGCGTGAAATCAAGCGAAAGGAAATAAGTCTTCTAGACGTGCCTGCGGATATCTGATATGGAAGTCATCCACCTTGACCTAACAAAGCCTGGGAAAATCTTCAACACGTTATTTCCTTTTCGTGGCTTTAATTTCATACATGTTTTGCATGCTGACGCAGGCAAGTTGTTTTCTTCGGTATCCATTTTTAAAGACAGTCACCGAGATCTTGATTTTATTTTTTTGGGTACCCCGTGAATAAGATAAAGAAACGGGTGACTAATATATGATGAAATGTATGACGAATACATGAAATATATGAATGCATAGGTGTAGGGTTAAATGACGGGGTTTTATGATAAGTACCCCTATAAGGTAGGGATGTATGGTTTAGTGATGAGATTTTTGTGATAAGTATCCTTAGAAGGTAGGTTCCTTAATTTTGACCTACGGTTGATCTACCCTCCCAGAAGGTGGTTTCCTTAAGGGTATCATGAATAACACCAGAGGGAAACGGCGCAAGGGCCTCCCTTAGGTGGAGCCTCTTTACGGACCGAGACGTCCGTCTCAAAGTCGTGAAAGGTCTCGTCATGAGATTTTGGGTTAAGGTCGTTACAAAGAGTCATGGGTGACCTTCCAAAGTCCTACTCGTCAAGAGGATATCTCTTGATAAGTATTCCTTTTTCGGAAGTCCATCGAATCTAGGCAAAGTCGTCACATAAACTCGTAGGGATGATGTACCCCCTAAGCTAATAGACGAACCTTCTTGCTAAGGGTTATATTGGAAATATTTTTGAGGTAGAAAGATCCCGCCACACAGTAAATATATGATGATAAGAGAATTTGACAGTAAATAAGTAAATGCGATAAAATAGATAAATGAAATAAATAATAAAGAAAATAAAAATAAGAAACCCCAAAAATACCTAAACCTAAGGTTAAGGAGAATCCCCAGCAGAGTCGCCAGTTGTAGCAACTGGATTTTTAATCAGAGTCGCCACTATTAGTTTTTATCCTAGGGAAGGGAATCTAACAGAAAACCCTAATTCGCAGACAAAGATTCTAGGTTTCGGACTCAATTAGACGAAAGGAAAGTGTTAGGCACCTTTAATCTACCTTGTTCACAAGGATATTAGGTTCTATGTTTAGGGTAAACAGGATTTTAAGTTTTAATTAGAAAGACTCGCCACGATTTTAGATCGTATGCCTACGTATCCTCTTATGAGGAATCAGAGTCCCAATTCGTAGTTCGTATGGGTTGGTGTTTTTTAGGGGTTTGCAAACATATTTTGAATCATTTCGCACTCGGTCGGGAGTAGTGATTGCGGAGATTTTGACTAAGTGCGCAGTAAGTTAAAACCAGTTTGAAACCAATTTACAAAAAGACTGTTGATTAGTTTAGTTTATTGCGAAAATATTTTTAGGATTTGTTTGTGTTTTTTAATCGTGTTATTTGCGAAGATCTTGATTAATGCATGATTAGAGAAAAATTTAATGCAAATAATATATGCAATTGTGATATAAAATAATTTATTTGATAATATAATAGTAATATTTAAATAGTAAATAAAATATATTAATAATAACATTTACATAAAAAGGGATTATAAATAATAATTATAAATAATGATAAAAATTAGATAATTATAACAATATATAATAATAATAATATCAAAATATAATAATAATAATATAAAATCACTATTTGATAATAATATTAATTATTGTAAATAAAAAAAAATATGTATATTAAATTTTTTTAGAAATAATAATTGAATTATAAAAATAAATTAAATTTAAGAGGGGGTGTAAATTCTAATTAGCGAGTAAACAAGGAGGTGTCTTTAGGAGGCTGGATTACATGGGCGAGGGTGTATGGAAAATAAGGTAGGACTTGGCCTACGGCCGTCCGATCACGATCACGTGGAGGATAACGAGGGAGTATGATAATTATTATGAGCCAGCGCGCATGGAATTGAAACATATTACATTTTGTTTTTATTTATTTACATTGTTTTGTTGTTACAGAAAACTCCACTTATTCATCTTCCTCTCTCTCGTA